CCTACCAACATGACCGAGTTGCGAAAACAAGGTCAAACAACTTCTAGTCTTTTCTTGTTTTGGTTCTAATGATAGTCAATTATCTGTACTTTTAGCTCAATTTTCTCTCGCATTGAGACCCAAAACAAAAAATTGGCTCATCAAGAATACCAGACGAGTGTTCCACCTTGCGCAATCTGAATGATGGTTATATCTTAAATATAGAAAAGAAGAGATAGGTGCCATCAAACATTTATGGCTAAAAATAGACGTTGCTTTTTGCTGTCCCAATTATTTTAAGCCATCATTGCGGGTTTCGTGTATAAGTGAACGAAAACAGGCACATTTACATACAGAGACAGACAAAATCACAGCCATCGAAGTTAACATATTACCTTAACTAACCAAATCACTTTATCGGATGTAGAGTATATATACCACTTTTTAGGGATTTGCCGGTGAGTTTTCTTGACTCGTTAGCTTGAATTTTGTTGTGACTATGTTACCTCGCTTTGATGATGTCCGTCATATGACGGACGAAAGCCTAGCACCTTTTCACCGGAATCGAAGGAGATTGCCTCGGAAACAGTGTCAGCATGAATCGTCCAGTAGAGCCAATCGACAGCTGGTCAAGAGAAATCCGCTGTCGTCTTCTGGTGGAACCAAGCTTCGAATCTCTTCACTCAGCACTTCCACTCGAAATGGAAGTAAGCAAAAGAGTTGGCCTGACAGAAAACCAAAGGGTGCTCTTCCAGTTGGCCCGGTCTCCTCGAGCCTACCGACGCTGAGGAAGATGTCGCGGTCGACATGGAGATCGCGTCCAGTCGACGTTGGACGCGAAAGCAAAAGTACACGCGGAAACATGTCTCGTCGACGCCATGGCCAAATGGAGACTAGCAGCTCGTGAGACAGATGCTATTGGTTCTATTGCTGAGGTTTGGCACGCAAAGCGGTGGGACACTGACTTGCGCCCAACTGTAGCGTACAACACGTTGCGTGGATCGGACCAAATGGGCCGGCTCGAAAGTGGGCAAAGGAAGAGGCGAACGTGAGGTCAACCGGACGCCGTGACTGGGTAAGCACAGGCTCGTGCCGTTCAGCAGCAAGAAGCGCCCGCTTGCGAGGACAAGAACGACGGTCGGGCAGACGCGGCGCGATGGGGCCGACGATGTGTTAAGCCCCCTGGAGCCCGTAAGGTGTGACACGACCGGGAGGGGACGGAAGAAGTCGGGCTCGGATTATTTTTTGAGAATGCATTTCACTGCATTGTCGCAAGAATGTCTGGAACGCCAGAGCGTAAAGTGGTTCACCAGATGGCCGCAGCACAGAAAAAGGGCAAACTGGCGAACGAACCGAAAAGTGATACAAACAGACAAAAAGGAAGAAGGGGTATGTTTTTGCAGTAACCAGGGTGGAGAGTGAAGTGAAGAGGCGGCAGGAAAGAGGGTGAGAATGACGAAACTGAAGAGAATGTGAAAACGGCTCATGAGTG